TTTTCCTGTGGTAATTTCCTGGTATCTGAACCTCTGTACTGAAATTTTAGGAACTTAGTCATTTTCTGACTTCTAGTGCTATCTTTTACATATTTGTCCTTGTTTCCAACTAGATTATAAACTCCTTTAGGAGCCAGACCAGGCTCTGTACTGCCAAATCCTCTACTGCTCTTTGTGTTGCCTTATGCTTAGTAGGTGGCCAGTGAATATTTACTAGTATGTATACATTTTAAAGCACTAAGATCTACCTGGGAAAGGAAAGGTAAGTGTGGTATTGAGCCTGTGGAAGAAATGCCTAATTTATTTCCCACAGGGCCTAGAGCTCTTTATCAATGCAGTACTCTAGAGAGACTGCTAGTTGTTTGGGGTTGTTACTAGAAATGAAACCTATATATCATCCCTGACCTAGAGCCAACTTTTCCTAAGAAAAAAAATTGAGTCGTATTTTAAGTCCCGTTGAATTAGCCCTTTCCTGAGGTACTGGTTTGCAAATATTTTTGCTGTTATCAGCTTTGCTCTTATCTCTTATAATTCCTTCTCTTGGCCTCTGGTTAAGTCTTTTCATATCTTCCTCTGTAATTATGCTATGTAGCATATTTGTGCCAATAATTTTGAACAAGGGTGAAGGGGAAGAGATATGGAAAATGAGCTATGTATAGGCAATTTGAATTTGCCAAATTTTATGCAAATTTTATTTAAGCACAGTATGATTTTCCTTATTTTTCCTGTAATTGATGTAGTTTTTGAGGAACATCATTGGCCATCAGAGCTCCTCCTGCTCTTTGGCTTATCTTTTAAACTCAAAGTATTGCAGACCCTCTGCCCTGCACTTTCCATCCTCCTTACCCTGAGCTCCTGCACTTTCTTCTGACATGTACTGCACTTGACTCACTCATTAGGTGCATTGTGTACTGACTGTCTTCCTGAATAAGAATATAAAGCTCCACGAAGGGCTGGGATCTTTGGCTAAATTACTGTTGGCTGTCTTTGACTATGCATCTCAACACGTAGGCCAGGGCCTGACCTTCAGTAAGTATTTGTTGAATTGAGTGGGAGTTTGCTAACTTGAAGCCCTTCATCCCCCACATCCCCTTGGTTGTTTGGTCTTCCTTTTTTTTCTGTTGTACCCTCTGAAAGGCCTCTGTTCCCTCCTTCCTTCCTTCCTTCCTTCCTTCCTTCCTTCCTTCCTTCCTTCCTTCCTTCCTTCCTTCCTTCCTTCCTTCCTTCCTTCCTTCCTTCCTTCCTTCCTCCTCCCTCCCTCCCTCCCTCCCTCCCTCCCTGCCTCCCTCCCTCCCTTCCTTCCTTTTTTGCTGAAGACTATTTCTTTCTAGAGCTAGTTAGTTCTTTCACCATACAACCACCTGTTCCCCTGGTCTGTGCCTTTGTAATAGCCATATCAGTAACAGAAGTAATTTATAGTCCCTTGGCTGTTCATGGTTTACAAAGCACTTTCACATATAAGATCTCATTTGAGGTATTCTTCAGTCTGTGACAGCAATGTATTCGTCAGGGCCCGCTGTTCACCAAAGTGTTCCAGTTGGCAAAATCTTGTCTCACCAGGGATGATCGCATTCTTCATTATATGCCAAGCATACATTCCCCTTGGCTTTGCTGTTGCTAAATTATATACAAGGACTCTGCCTCTTTGATGTCTTCTGGCCTTCTAGGATCACCCGCTTTAATCCCCAGAAGAGTGCCTATGTAGTATAAGGGCCTCAGGTAGAGTGAGAAAAATAGAAAGGAAAAATAAAAAAGAAACAAGCAACCCATAAGTGCATTAATGGGACACCTCAACAGAAGATTGCTACCTAGGTGCTGAACAACTACTGTTGCCTCAAAGTTAATTTGCTAGCTGGAACAGTCCATGTGGACGTGTTCAGCAGGAAGTGGAAGCGCAAGTATGGAAATGGGAAGTTTGGCTGTAGAAATGAGAACCGTTACTTTCAGGTCCTCCACCAGTAAATTGCCGTCACTGTCCTCTTGGCCTCTCTCTTGGCTAAGCTATGAAGACAGAGACGTTTTCTTCCTAAAGGCCTTCTGTTCTTGCCTGTAAGCCATGGGAGTGCTCAATAACTATTAGTGTCTCATAATGACACAGGAATATTCCTCTGAGCAGTCGGAGAGCTGTAGGCATGTCACACATTGACAGGTACTCACAAATCTCTTTTTGCTGTTGTGAAATATTACTGCCAGGGGAGTTGTATACGACTTGTTTTGACAGAGTGGTCTTAAATATTCATTCCTTTTACCCATTACTTTAAGGGAAATGCTAGCATTTAGTCTTTAGGCTTCCAATAGTAATTTTGGAGAAATTGTATTATAACCTCCTTCAAGACTCTGATTTTCACGTGGCTCATTTATTTATGCATTAACGTATTAATATTATTATTTTTAATGATGGAGGAACATGCACTTTGAGGTTAGTGGGAAGTCAGAGGTTACATGGAGGTCTTGGGTCCATTGTTCTCAATGGTAAGTTAACAAGCAAGTATTTATTACTGTGGGAGGCAGCGTGAGCATAGTGGAAAGAGGACAAAATTTGGATGAGCTCCAGTTCCAATCCCCGCTCTACCATTTAGTAAATGTATGACTTTGGACAAGTAAGTTTGCTATGATGACCCTTCGCTTCCTCATCTTGAAGTGGAGTTAATAATGCTCCTCCCAGGAGTTTCTGTGAGGATTAAATAACATAGCAGATTCGAAGCGCTTAATATGGAAGCAGTCATCAATCCAAGGCTGTTGTTATTTATGTGCTGAGGCTCTGTTAGCTCTGTTTTAGGGGATGTTGGGGGGCTTTCAAAAGGTGTGTAAAATATATGCGTGTGAGGCCACGAAAGATGGCAACGAACACATATTTGACACACAAAATCAGGACGGTATGAGATGAAGTGTTATTTGTACAGAAAGTAAGTACAAGAAACCAGAAAGGTAGAGGTTGTTGTGGTCATAGTCTTCAAGAATCATGGTAGAGATTGTGTCGTAAATTGTGCCTTCTCATTGTAAATTATAGAAATTAAACTGTGTAGAGGGTTATTTACTGGTCTGCATAGCCGGGGAAGCCCAAGCTGGAAGCTTCTGTACCAGCAAGACTCTCTGTCTGCAAGCTCTGCTTCCTTGTCGGCTTCCCCTGCTTGGCCATGGTGCGGCTGCTAGCAACCAAGGAACCCCCTGGGGAGGTCCCGACCTTCTTCCCCCTGGTCTGAATCTCAAAATCCCAGGAGTGGCTCTGCTTGGCCTCGCTCGGGGGACATCCTTATACTAGTGGCCAGGGGTATACATTATCTGGTGGTCGGCAACCCCATGTAGAAATACATAGGGTGGGGAGGAGGAACAGTTTATAAGAAAGGAGGGCACTGGACAGCAGGAGCAGGAGGTGTGGTTACTCCCGACGGGGAGAAGGACGGCTTTAGCTCTTTGCAGGGAGAGAGGCAGGTGTGTAGATCACTCAACCAAAGACACAGTTGAGAATGAAAAGTTGGTTTATATTAGTCAAATAGGACAAGGTAGACTCTCAGAGTGAATGGTTTGGAGAGGTCGGTTGAGGAGTGTGGACTGATACGATAGGGCATAAATCTGAAGAACTGATATCAAATTGACATAGTTATGTTGGATCCTGGCTTTCTTTTCTTCTTTAAAAAAAATAAGTTCCCTATTGTAGGCTGACAATTTGAACTGGTAACTTGAGGACTAAGTCGAGTGCAGTTGAGAGGTCACACTCACTGAGTGTACACAAGGTGGTCTTTGTATTCAAGAGACAGACGTCCATTCTGGCACTCCCTTAAAAATTAGATATCAGCAAGCATCTATCTTACAGGTTTTTTTCCAGGAAAGGCATTTCAGAGAAACCAAATAGATGGTTTGGACAAAATCTTGTTTTTAGAAGGATTCCAGCTAATAAATGCAGAAGGAATGATACAAATAAAATGTTACCATTTTGTTACCCTTAATGAAATAACAGGTCTAGGCAATAATCACCAATGACTGCTAAACTATTAGGTCAAAGGCTGATGGGGAACTTCATAACCGATAGATTAGGCTAATAACCCCTGAACCCACTGATCAATCTTAACGTTACAAAAAGGGAAAGAAGTAGATACTACATGCATCTTAATTTGATGGAATAGGAAACACACAGGACTATTTGTGAAGTTTCTAGCTAAAATCTGAATGTGCTTCTGATCAACCTTTAGATCTAACTGCTAGTTTATAAAAGCATGGTAGAAAGAGGACCTTGTTAAACAATAGAGACGTAATTAGCCAAATCCAGAATGTAGAAATTGCTATAGGGCATATAACTCAGTTTATTTAATAAATAAATGGCAAGAAAAACAAAGAAGGAAGAGAAACTATTACGAAGAGACTTAAGGTACATATCAACTGTGTTTGGATCTTGATTTGGGTACATCGACTATACAATTATAAATTATAAGACCATTTGGGAAATATTTATTTATTTATTTATTTATTTATTTATTATTGTTGTTCCATTTGGGAAATATTTAAACTCTGATTGGAGATGAGATAAATTAAACGACTTTTTAAAAGGAATGATAGCCCTGGCCAGTGGCTTACTTGGTTGGAGTGCCATGCCATACACCAAAGGGTTGTGGGTTTGATTCCTGGTCAGAGCACATACCTAGGCTGCAGGTTCGATCTCTGGCCAGGCATGTATGGGAGGCAACTGATTGATGTTTCTCACATTGATGTCTCTCTCTCCCTCTTCCCCTTCCTCTTTCTCTAAAATATAATAAAAGGAATGATAGTGGTATTGTTATTTTTAAAAGACTCCTTATATCTTGAAGATATACACTGAATTTTTTCCAGACTATATGATATTGTATTAGCTTCCTATGGCTTCCTTAACAAATTGCCACAGGCTGGGTGGATTAAACAACAGAAATTTGTTCTCTTGTAGTTCTGGAGGCCAGAGATCAAAAATCAGGGTGCAGGCAGGCCCTGCTTCCCCTGAGATTCTAGGGCAGAATTCTTGTCTCTTCCAGTCCTGGTAGCTGTCCTCAGCTGAGGCTGCGTCTCGCTCGGCTCCGTCTCGCTCGGCTCCGTCTCACATGGCCTGCTCCACCTGTAGCTGTGACAAAGCTCCCTCTGCCTGGCCCTTACAAAGATTCATGTGACTGCATTTAGGTCTACTTGGATAATCCAAGGTAAATTCCTTCTTAAGATCCTAAATCATGGTCATATCTTTTGCCATATAAGTTAATATTCACAGCTTCTAGGGATTAGAAAGTGATATATCTTTGGGGGCCTTTTTTTTTTCTTATCTCAGATCTGAGATCTGAGATTTGCTTTTTAAACAATCCAGCAGAAGCAAGGAATTCAAATGAGATATTCTGATTTGCTGAATTTGATGATTAATTTTCTGACTAACTCAGGACAATTCGTTGTACTATTATTCTCTCACACCAAGATTCCTTAGTAATCGGTTTTTCTCAGAACCTGAAAAATACCTTATAACCCCTGATAGTATCAATACAAACTTCATTTTTTCTGTTAATAAATTAGGCGTGAGCTTCTAATCCTTCACATTTTGACTACATTTTAATTTTTTTGAATTAAAATACTATGTTTCTTAATTTTAGAGGGAGGAAGGGGGAGCGAGAGGGGAACATCAATGTGAGAGAGAAACACCCATCAGTTACCTCCCATACACCCTTACCAGGGGCCAGACCCACAACCTAGGCAGGGGCCCTGACCAGGAATCAAACCCGCAACCTTTTGGTTTACGGTATGACACTCCAACCATCCGAGCCACACCGGCCAGGGCTTCACTACTTTTTTCGCCATTTCTTTGTGCTTCTCAAGAAAAGTAAAGGGTGAATGAAAATCTCCTCATTTGAGATTCAGAAATTGTGAGATGTCAGATGACCTGAAGCTTAGATACGATAAGCCTCTCTCCCTTCCTTACTTAAATATCGGTGAGTGCATGAAGCAGCATGGTTATTTTGGAGACTCGTGGGCAAAGTGACTTATCAGGGCATCTTTGTCAAGCAGACGAAATCATGAAAGGCTCAACAGTTTTATTATAGGGCCCGTCTTTCGACTGTGTCTCCCCGTGATCCCGCACTGTCCGAGTGAACTGCAACTTGGCACACAGAGTGCATTCCCTGGCAGAGCTCGGCAGTGATTACTGTTTTTCTGCAAATTACTCTTTTAGGTAGGATTACAGTGTACTAAGGCTTGAGAGTTGAATTCCTAAGTTCAATGTATTTTATTCTGTTTTTTTCCTTAAAAACCAAAAATTAATGAGATTTTCATGATTTCTCTTTCTCACTCCTGTGCTGGAAAGATTTCAAGGAATATAGTTAAAAATAACCACAAAGGACAAAGCACAGCATTTCTCAAAGAGCTATTCTGGTATATCAGAAGTATGATATTTCTTAAAATACCACTATATATTCAACTCAGGGTCAAGTATATGTGTTATAAATGATAATGACTGTCATGGTACTGCTGTAGACTCTTCAAGCTACTTCACATATACTTACTATTTTAATGGTTTTTTTTAAAGGAAGGAACCCTGGCTGGTGAGGCTCAGTGGACTGAGTGCCAGCTTGCGAACCAAAGGGTTGCTGGTTCGATCCCCAGTCAGGGCACATGCCTGGGTTGTAGGCTAGGTCCCCAGTAAGGGGCACATGAGAGGCAAGCTCACATAGATGTTTCTCTCCCTCTCTTTTCCCCTTCCTTCCCCTCTCTAAAATAAATAAACAAAATCTTTAAAAAAAAGGAACACAGAAATTGATATGTAGAATCTCTGATTAATTGTCCAGATTCTGAGAGGAACTGATTACTAATGCCTGGATTCTGACTTAAACTGCCAAAAGCAGCATGTTTAAAAGTGCATTTTAGCCTTTAGAAGTCAGTTTTTTCACATAGAGTGGCTTTATATTTTTTCCTTAGTGTTAGTGTTTTTTTTGTTTTGAATTTATTTCTTTCCAAGTTAAAAGCTGCATTTTGTAGAAGTGGTATAAACTTTAGTTGCAAAATCTCAAAATTAGACCATCTTCTTTTAGCTCATAGAATTAGCATGTAGCTGCTAATTGATATACAAGACTACTAAAACCCAGGTCCCTCTTACATGTTTGTTCTGAGCTGCGGTACAAACTGGGCTGTCAATGTCAGACACAAAAGCATGTGGCCAATTTGCTACAAAATTAGCCTTTCTGTGGTGCATGTGATGATATAGTGTATAAGGCTGACTGCATTGAACTTCTTATTGTATTACTGTGATGTTGTAATCCAGGCTTATGGGAAAGCTGTATTTTTTTTTAATAGAGTGGACTAGAGATGGCATGTTATACTAATGTAGATATAAAAATGACTTTTCCATGTGGGCAAAGTCATTGGTGAGGGGAGAGATTTAAATCTTTGCAAGCCTCTTGGCCATTCCAGTTGCTTACTAAATGGTTTATTTATGAAACTTGATGGTGATTATTAAATATCTCAGGCATTTCATCTGTTTAAAGTTGTAAAATCACCCAATTTATGTACGCTGTAATAAAGGAGAAATGATGTACGGAAATAATCAAGATAGTGGTTTACATTTCAGCTGATATAATGTCATGGTAATCTGTTCTGCATTTTTTATTGTTTGCTTTTGTGCAAGGAAGACATTTTTACTCAGTAATATTCTTTAAGATATAGATTCTTTTATTACCAAGGTGTAACACAATTTTGCAGGAACAAACATTTTTACATAAAATGAAGTACTTCCTAAGTTTTGTTTTTATCTTTATTGCTTTTTCTTTATATAAAAGAAGAAAATATGATGCAGAAAGCTGATTGAAAAAGACACCTAATATTTGCATGATGCTCTTTGGTTTGCAGATAATTAACAAATAAGGAACTCTTAGGCAAAACAAAAGCTTTGTCTTTGACTAAATAATGAATATAAAATACCATTCAACCCTTTACTGATTTCATACCCTTGACATCTGTCACATCCACTCATTTATCTGTGTTAACTCCACTCTCTCTTCTAGATGATTGTGTTTAGTAGCTTCCTCACTGGTCTTCCTGCTTCTACCTTATCCACTCCCTAGCTGGTTCTTCTCTCCAGCCTTAGTCATTTTTAAAGAATGTAGATTTCATGGTGTCATTTTCTTTCTTTCTTTTTCTAAACATTTTGTTTATTTTTTTTTAGAGAGTGGGGAAGGGAGGGAGAAAGAGAGGGAGAGAAACATCACTGTGTGGTTGGTTGCCTTCCGTGCAGCTCCACTGGGGACCTGGCCCACAACCCAAGCATATGCTCCAGGAATCAAACCGGTGACCTCTGGTTCACAGGCCCACGCTTATTAATCCACTGACCTACACCAGCCAGGGCTCATGGTGTCATTTTCCTCTCCCACCTGCTCATCATTCTTAAGGTAAATAAAGATCCTTATGTGTGCCGGGCTCTGTGGAATCCAGCCTAACTACCTGGCCAACCTCATCTCGTGCCATTCTCTTACTTGCTCTCAATTCTTTAGCACCACTGTCTGTCTTTCAGTCCTTAATGTGCCCACATGCTTTTAAAAAAAACACGGAGCCTTTGCACACGCTGCTCTCGACTCAGACCACCCTTTCTCCCGACCTCTACCACCTCCACACCTCTCAGTCCCCTTTGCTCAATTGGGTAACCCCTATTTATCTTCGGCTCAAACCCCATTTCCTCAGGGAAGCCTGTTTACACGTGGGTGGGTCTCACTTTTACAGGCTTTTACATTATCATTCCCTCATTGGGCTTACTGTTCTTATTTATGTGTTTATATGTTAATTGTCTTCATGAGGGCAGGTAACCTGCCCTCACCATTTTTGTTCACCATTAGATCCCTAAGATGGTACAGTAACTACCACACATTAGATGCACATAAATATTTGTTGAATGAGTGAATAACATGAAAAACTGAATCAGATATCACCGTTGCCTAATCGATGAGTGCACACATAATGCCAATACCGAAGACATTCGTTGTAAAAGTGAATGGGGCCTACAAAGCGGTCCTATAGGGATGGTGCCTGCTCCCTCCACAGTGCCGCTGTTAGAAAGGAGTTTTGGAATGATTTTAAAGAATTGTCTTTAGAAGTAGTTTATAAGCCACATTAGAAAATCACCTAAGCTTTCGTTAAAAATAATATCCAGCTTGACTATTCTTTTTATTTTCTAAATGTACTTCCAGCTTACAGAGAGCAAGTCCCACTTTCAAAAGAACCAAATTTGCTGTAGTTGGAAATTTCAAAAGAATGTTATATGCATGAAAGCAATCATAAAGGAGTTGTTCCTCAAATATTTTGAGCATTGGCAGGCGTTTTGTAATAAGCATGTAGTCTTTGAAGGGACTCATACCCCTGTGGATGTGTGGGTTCTGCTCTTTCTGTTAAAATCTTCCATGAAGTCACTCTTCATGTTATAAAGGCGGCCCCCTTTCTGGCCATGAGGCAGAGGGATATATTTTTCTTAAGTTATTTACTTCTTCCTTGTGCTTTTTTATCCTCCACAGGCAAAAAGGGTCTTGGGGTTTTTCTTTTCTTTCCCTTCCTAACTTCCTCCTTCTTTTCTTTTCTTTTCTTTTCTTTTCTTTTCTTTTCTTTTCTTTTCTTTTCTTTTCTTTTCTTTTCTTTTCCTTTCTTTTCTTTTCTTTCTTTCCTCTTTTCTTTTTTCTTTTCTTCCTCCCTTTCTTTCCCTCTCTCCTCCCTCCCTTCCTTCCTTCCTTCCTTCCTTCCTTCCTTCTCTTCTCGCTCTCCTCTCCTCCCTCCCTTCTCCCTCCCTCCCTCCCTCCCTCCCTCCCTCCCTCCCTCCCTCCCTTCCTTCCTTCCTTCCTTCCTTCCTTCCTTCCTTCCTTCCTTCCTTTTCTTTCTCTCCCCCCTTTTTCTAACCAGAAAGAAATCTAATAGGGAATTGACTTAACCATTATAAAGTGCTTTAATTTTTTTAGATGTTGAGTGCTGTGTTTAGCAAAAATCCCTGTTAGTGCAAAATATCACAGAACTGGGACCACATTCTTCCACTGAAAAGTATCAGAGATTCTTGCCAGTTCTGCTATTCAGGCTTATTTATGCGATACTTTTATTGATTTAGCCACAAACACTGAACCTCTTGTGGGCTAGGTATTGCCCTTTTACCTCCTGATTTTGGAAGAAAGTTGCTGTGTGTACTGCCTTCCTCCAA